CCCTGCCCCCCTCCCCCCACTGTAACCCCTTCACTCCTTGCCCCCTTGTAACTCCTTCACTCCCTGCCCCCCCTCAATGTAACCCCTTGACTGGTTGCCATGGTGTGCCAAGTGTAAGCCTCTAAAACTGATTGCCATGGTGTGCCAATTTTATGCCTCTAAAGCTTGTTGCCATGGTATGCCAATTGTATGCATCTAAAACTGATTGCCACGGTGTGCCAATTGTATGCATCTACAGCGGATTGCTATAGTGTGACAATTTTATGCATCTAAAGCTGCCATAATGTTCCAAAAGTATGCCTGTAAAGCTGATTGCCACGGTGTGCCAATTGTATGCATCTAAAGCGGATTTCCATGGTGTGCCAATTTTATGCCTCTAAAACTGATTGCCACCGTGTGCCAATTGTATGCATCTAAAGCGGATTGCTATAGTGCGCCAATTGTATGTCTCTAAAGCGATTTGCCATGGTGTGCCAATTTTCTGCCTCTAAAAGTAATGGTCAAGGTGTGCCAATTGTGTGCATTTAAAACAGTTTGCTATGGTGTGCCAATTGTATGCCTCTAAAGCTGATTGCCATGGTGTTCATGGTGTTTTAAAATATGCATTTAAAGCAAGTGGGTCTCGAAAAATTACAGTTTTGAAAAGTGGGTCTCGGCCAAAAAGGTTTGGGAAGCCCTGCAGTAGAGCATTTGTGAGAAGGCCTGGCTCGCAATCTCCATTACAGTTCATCCCAAAAGTGTTCGATGAGATTGAGATCAGTTCTCTGTACAAGCCAGTCCAGTTTTCACACACCAAAGTCACTAAACCATGTCTTTATGGACCTTGCTTTGTGTAATGGGGCACAGTCATGCTGGAAAAGAAAACTGTTCCCAGAAAGTTGGAAGCATAGCATTGTCGAAAAAATGTCTTGGTATGCTGAAGCACCGTTGACCGTGGATTATCTAGCAGGGATGAAAGTTCACAAAATGACTTAAAGGTGAATTCACGAAGCGCTTGAAATCACTGAGCTCTTCAGAGCAACCCATTTTTTTTCACAAATAGTTGCAAGTTTTAAATGCAGACTGCATTGCTAGGTGTTTGATTGTATACACCTGTGGCAATAGGTGTGATTAAAACACCTGAAGTGAATAATTAAGAGGTGTGTCCAAAACACTGATGTCCATAAAATGTATATATGCATGATGCCTGCTTTTGTCCTTTAACACGTTAACACCGTTAAAGGGTGCTGTGCTGTCCTGTAGAAGGATGGCTTTAACAGTGTTAAAGCGGCATAACATATCCTAGCAATCAAAATTCGCCCCGTTCCCCATGGCCTGGATACCTAGCTTCCATCACGATCAGGGGGACTGCTTGACAACAGAGGCAATCCCCCTGCAGCAAATCCTGCCCATCCATATCATGTGATCTTGATGTCACAGCGATTACATGATTTAGATCTGCAGTTGACATCACTGCCTGTAGGGGAACTGCTTGGGTTGTCAGGCAGATAATCCAATTTATAATTAATAAAATCAAATCCTTAAGGGGAAAAAAAAATCGAGAATTTTTTTTTTTTTTTTAAAGCATATGAGAAATGTTGTGTGGTTCACTTAGCTGTGGTGGGAGATAAAGTGATGAAAAGTAGGACAATTAGCATAGTTAGGTCTAACAAGATCCAACTGCAACATAATTGTCACCAGCCACTAATGATTTAGCTTGGGCCCATTGCCAGACGCGAAGGCCTTACAAAGGTGTCTCCCATCCACGGCAGCTAAGTCAATGCTACTCATAGAAGCAGGATTGGGACAATGTAGGAACACACATACATGTATAGAGAACATACCCAGGCTGGCACTATAGCAATGGCATAACAGGATCCATAGATATCCAAGAATAAAAATCAGGTATTTGAATTCAATACCTGATCACCATTAAAAGGGATTATGAACTAGGCACAATTTGGAAATTGGAACAAGTTTTCACGACAAGTAATCCCAACACGCAGAATATAACCCAAATTAGAAAACGTATAACGTTTGATGTAACCTAGATGGAATAGTCGAGGTATAGCCAATGCCAAGGAAATCAAGAGATCAGGATAACGATAAGGAGTAGCCGAGTCAGGAAACCAGAAAACAGGATAAACGAGCCTAGTCAGGATACCAGAAAGCAGAATAGTCAATATAAAACAAGCCAAGTCAAATAATAAATCACACAGACAGAAATCAGTATAGCACTAGAGGGAACAACTAGTGAACCACAATAGGGCACTGAACAAAAGCAAAAGGTGCTCTTTTACAGTGGAACGTCTTTTGCTTTAAATCCACGTCCCCAAAACGTCAGGGAGCGTGGAATATTTTGACTTTTCGCGACATAGCCGCTATGACGTCGGCACACATGCCATGTCATAAAAGGAGGCGTGCATGGAGCGCCCGGCATGCGTCATGCCATCGCCAGGAGGAATCTGCACCCGGAGCATCTCCTCGTTGGTCCACGGGATTAAGGTAAGGTATCGTGACACAAGTCTAGAAATATTACCATGAATACCAAACTGTCTGAAATTCGTTAACAAATCAAAAACAAACAGGAAGCTTTTATAGTAATCAGCACCCAGACTAGAACACAGAGCAGAATGGAACACAGACTAGACAACAAGCACAAACAACACCAGAAGTCCAGTTTAGAAGTCCATGGATTTAGCCCAATCCATGAACTTAGATCAATACCAAGACACTACCTTACTTTACATACTCACTGCAGGACATGGTGTCATGCTAAAAGTAAAAAAAAAAAAAAAACAGACAAAGTGAAGGAAACAAGAACAGAGCAAAGTAAAGTAAGACAATGATCGAGAATAGGACAGACAATTTGGACACCAAAAATATGCAACAGAGAAATCCACTCGTGTTATCCCCTGAGCCTTGTTAGTAGGCGTCTCTGCTAATGTGAGTTCCTTACAGTGGTCTACAGCCAGGGTCCTAGTATTGCTACCAAGCATAGACACAGACTTCACATAATGGAGTTGGACATCACAAAAGCATGCATTTGGGGTCAACTTTACTGGGAAAGAATAGGATTGGGGTAAAATAGCAATGAGACAAACATAGACAAACAATTATAAATAAAACACATACTAATACGCTCTGGGATGACTCTAGTTATATTTTTATTTATTTACCTATACTTAAAAAAAATATAATTTACTTTTACTTAACAGCATGTCAATAATTAAGTAAATGGAAAAAAATAATGCAAACATTTTCTCAGTATTTTTAAATGAACAAAAATTGAATGCAGGTATTTCACCAGTCCAATTCTATTTCGAATGCCATGGTTACTGGTGAGTTTCAGAAAACTATGTGTACACACCATTAATTACAAAACCATTCATTAAACATAACATAAAGTGGTATTTACTTTTATTAACTGCAACTGATAATTTTCCGTGTCTTCCATTTTTATGCTCCTGTCCATTTTTCCTTAATATAAATATATATATTTAAAATTGTATTAATTATTACTTATTTATTTTAATTGAGCTGCGTAATGCAACATATTGTTAATGCGTATGAATAATTGGTGTTGTAATGTGAATGTTAGGATTTAGGGTGAACAGAGAATCCACAGTTTCAACAGGTAGAATGCATTGTGTATATACATGATTAAGGCAAATGGGCCGAAAAATTGTATATATTTTTTTTGTGTTCCTGTCTTCAATAAACTGCATAACGCATCCTACCTGTTGAACATGTCGATTCTCTGTTGGATACTATTACTTGAAGATTGCGTCTTTCCACTACGGAGTACCAGGAGGTGCATTAGTGAACTACGCTTTTTTCCCGAAATAGTGCCACATCAATTTATTTAGGATTTAGAGTTGGACATATAGTTGAGTTTGAGGAGCAACTTCTGTCAATATACGTGGGGGCGGGGTTATAAAATATACCATTTGGCTAAAGCCCTTGTGCTCTCTTGCCACTCTACAATGTCCTTGTCCCCAAAGTCAAACATTCCTCATCCTCTTATTCAATATGTATTTTCTTTTTGTATCTTCTATGTATTGCTTGGATTTGTACATTTAATTTTTTCCATTACAGAATTTTTTGTGATGATTGACTGCTTCTCTTTTCGACAGTTTCAGCTACGTAAGCGAACACTGTAGCATTAGAGCTCTGCATAAAATGCAGATGTAAAATAATAAAAAAAAAAAACAAATAAGAAATAAATACCAATAAATAAAAAAATTATATATATATATAGTTTTTTCCTGGCTATCTCCATGGCAGTACAACAATGGGTAGCTTCTCACAATCCCTAATTAGACAGGAACTAATTTAAATACGGGTATATAAACCCCCTCCTGCTTCCTCTTCCCTCAGTCTTTTTGTTCCTGTCCTATCTCCACAGGACAACTAGTCATTTCAGTCTTCAGTACATGGCCCTGTGCAAAGGTGTCCCCTTGATGAAATCCCCTTTAGTGACCAGGGGTTTAACTTGCAGTGACCCTAGGGCAGTGATGGCGAACCTATGGCACGCGTGCCATTGGTGGCACGCCTGGCCCTCTCTTTGGGCACGCGGCCATAGCTCACCATCAATGCAGAGTAGGCACCTGCTTGCCCAAAAGGGCAGGCGCCTACTCTGCTTCCATGTCGGGAGGACCGGAAGCAGGGGGGAGGGATCTGAGAAGCAGCTCTCCTGTCCTCCCGCGAGCAATCTGTGTGGAGAGTTGCCGCGCATTACCATGGCAACGCTCCACACAGCATCGCGCGGGCGGTAGGACAGGAGAGCTGCAGGACCTGTCCCTCTTACCGCCACCGGAACACCAGGGATTTATGTGTTCCCCCCTCCTTCACATAAAGTAAGCAGAAGAGAGGGGGGGGGACACAGATTGCAATAATAAATTTGCAGCACCTCCCCCCCCACACACACACAGCACCCCTTTCACACAGAGCACCCAGCACCCCCCCTCACACACACACACACAGCACCCCTTTCACACACACAACACCCCCTCACACACACAGCACACGCCCACACACGCACAGCACCCCTCACACACAGCACTCCACACACATTCCACACCCGTACACACAAACACATACACTGCACCCCTCAATGCAGCATGTGTGTGTGTTTGTGTGTATGTATTCAGCAGTTTGTGTGTACTCGGCAGTCTGTCTGTACTCAGCATTCTGTGTGTGTGTGTGTATTCAGCAGTCTGTATGTGTATTCAGCAGTGTGTGTATTCAGCAGTCTTTATGTATTGAGCAGTCTGTCTGTGTGTGTATTTAGTGGACTGTGTGTACATATTCAGCAGTCTGTGTATGTTTGTGTGTGCATGTATGCAGCGGACTGTGTGCATGTATTCAGCGTAATGTGTGTGTGTGTGTCGGTGTGTATGTATTCAGCAGTGTGTGTGTGTATTTTATGTATGTATTGCATTTGTTGGAGATATTAATAAATATAAGCCTAATTTTATCTATAATTTTAATTTTTATTCCTGTGAGTTGTGTTTAGGCAGGGCCCCAGTGCACTGCTTTGCCTGGGGGCCCATAATGTTGTTAAGGTGGCACTGGTGGGTGGGTGGGAGGGAGGGCTGCGAGGGAGCACTGACTTACATGCTGTTACAGCACTGCTCCCTCCATTGATGCTGCCGGGAGACAGGAAATGACCGCGGCGGCGCCTGATTGACGTAATTTCCTGTTTTGCCGGCAGCATCAGCGGAGGGAGCAGTGCTGAGACAGCATGTAAGTCAGTGCACCCACGCCCCCTTACAGCAGTGGTAGGGAGCCTGGAAGGACTTCAAACTCCCACCCGCACAAAAAACACATTATGTGCTGGTAGAGAGAGGGGATATGCTGGGGTAGTGAGGGTAAGATGCATAGGGGAGAGAAGAGGAAAATCTGGGGGAGAGAAGAGGAGATGCTGCAGGGAGAGAAGAGGAGATGCTGAGGGGACAGGAGAGGAGAAGCTGGGGGAGGAGAGGAGGAGATGCTGGGGGAGAGGAGGAGGAGATGCTGCGGGAGAGGAAGAGGAGAATCTGGGGGAGAGGAAGAGGAGAATCAGGAGGAAAAGAGGAGGAGATTCTGTGGGGAGAAGGGGAGAGGAGGAGGAGAAGGAGGTGCTGGGAGGAGAGGAGGAGGAGATGCTAGGGGGAGAGGAGGATATGCTGTGGGTAGAGAAGGGAAGATGCTGGGGGAAAAAAAGAGAATTAGTTCAGACAACTGTACAAATTGTTTTTTTCTAAACTTAAACCTCAGTATTCAGGTTTAATTGCCGTGTTGGCACTTTGAGGGAATTAAAGTTGGCATGTGGTTTGCGGTTTGGGCACTCGGGCTCAAAAAGGTTCGCCATCACTGCACTAACTCAACATGTAGATATTATGGTACCTACACTGTTACTTTATTAACTTATTAATTTATCTAGGGGCAAGAGAGTGGACAACAGCTGGAGTAGCCTGCACTTCTGTGGATCGCCTCTTAGATCTCAAGCTGCTTTTAGCTCATCTTGTGCCATTACAAAAAGTACTAGGACCATTTGCATGTCAGACTAACTCCACCCAAAAGGGCAGTCCAGATCCGAAATGCAGGCCAGTTATCTCTGCATGAGAGATACCGCAACCCTAGACGATCGTTTCCACCTTGTTAGGCATTGTCAGTGAGGTGTAGCTGATACCCCTCTAGGCACCGTAAGCAAGGGGTCCACATCTGGATTACCCTTTAAATTTGGGGAGAGGTGCAAGATAGATATTAAATTATATATATAAATAAAATATCTACAAAATGCTGTACAAGCCTAAAGTTTCCTAAATTATTGCTGTGTAAAAGGCAAGTCGATTCTCTAGTTATCTTCTACCACTTCATTAAAGAGTTAATTCACGAATTATGGTCCCAATTTATATATATATATATATACTCACATATGACCAAGGGTTGTGAAAAAATAAGGAAGTCAGTGACCAGATCTACAAAAATAAAACAAACAAACAAAAATGGACACTTTAATTTTAGGGGGGTACTGGGGGTGGTGGGGGTGGATAGGGGCAGGGCTATTCTGAAAAATGTTAGTTGTCTTACTAATAACAGTTTTTGCAACCGAGATATAATATAGAACAAGAAGAATATATCTTATTTACACAGACTGATTTCTAAACACATTTGTTGTAGTTTAAAGACACATTACTGGAGTATCATTGATGCATGGCTCTCTCATACACTCAGACACACCAACCATATAGATCTTCTAGGAAAGACGGACTTTAGGATAGAAAAAGAGGATTTGGCCTTAGTGTTTCTCCTAACACAGTGAGGGAGGATAAGCATGCGTGGGATAGGCATAAGGCTATCCTAACTATAAGATAAGTCTAGGGACTAATGAAAGTATTTAGAAAATTGGGCAGACTAGATGAGCCGAATGGTTCTTATCTGACGTCACATTCTATGTTTTTAAATAGGAACAGTTGGGGGATATTCAAAATGGCTGTATTTCTGTGTTGCTTTAATCAGTCAATGTTTTTCTGAATTACTTTTTACCTTTGCAACTCGCATTATCAAGAAAAATGACTGACCTTTTGCTTCCTACTACGATAACAGTGCAACATTTTTCACAAAGTGGAACTTTTATACTTTTGTAAGTTTTAATATAAAGGTTAATGTTTGATATTTTTTGAAGAGGATAGATTTAAAAAAAAAAAAAAAAAGTTTTGCTTCAGGCAAACACAAAATATACTGTTTCCTTGCTACACCCATTATATTTTTAACCAAATATTTGATGACGCTGTCAAATAGTGGTGACTTGAGTTTCCTAAAGTCATTCGGCATATATTCCAAGGAAATGAATTTCACTGTCGGTAGAAAAATGAATATGTTGTAGAAACTGTTACAGGATGAAGACATACAGGAAAGACAATTCTTTCCAATGTGTCTCCTGGTTATAAATAGAAAATATGCAATATGAAATTTAGATAAACAGGCTTGCTATCGTATAGAGATATGCCATGACTAGACTGCATATAAACAAAGCTGACCTTAAAGATATATTCGTTGAAGAACAAAGAATTTCTGTTTGTGGCAAGTCGACAGTTAGAAACCTTTTCCCGTTTTACTTGACAAAATGTAAATATATAATTTATATCTAGGAATTAGCCAGACATGCTAGATACAGTATATGGATTTCTAAAGATAAATCATTATTCTAATATTTTCTCATTCTTGTATGCAGTCAAATTTGAGTTCTGTTAGTACATTTAAAGCAGCTGTGTCACTGTCTGATGGTGGGGGGCTGGTTTCCATGAGGGTGCTAAAGAAGTTGAGTTATCTTTACCTGTCCCTCGTGGCCGCCACCATGTTCTTCCAGTCAGGCCTCTTAAACTCCTGGGATTTCAGCAGCCAGAAACCCATGTCAGCGTTGTACTCTCATTCATGCGAGAGAGTACAACACTGAGGCCTATGGAGGATTCCATGTCTTGCAGACAGCGACTAGAAGCGCTTACTGCACCAGATGGAGTAAAACTCAGCCTGGGACTCAAATTCTGCTAGAGGACCACTTATTCCATGTAATACTAACAAAATAGCTCCACGATTAATGAATCATGGAACATAATATAAAAAAATAACACTAGAGTAAAATTTCTGGCTTCAATCTTCTGGGCCCTAGATATAAACAAAAAGCAGATTGCAGATAAAATCCTAAAAAGTACAATAATAGGAGATCTAATAATCTGGGGGCAGAAGATTAAAAAAAGAGTTAGGCCTCCAAAATAAATTTAACGAACTACTGCCAATTTCGGTGATTGATGACAACTTAGAAAGCATTAATCTAAATGCTTGGCAAAATTTGGGTATTAAGACAATCAAGGATTTATTCTCAGACCATAAAATGAAACCCTTCCCTCAGCTAAGACAGGAATTTGCCATATCGTCCAAAGATAAATTTAAATATCTAAGGAATAAAGGATTCATCCTCACCCATACCATCAAGAATAGGAAAGAAAATCTAAAAAAAATCCTCCAACTATTAGAGCTAAATAATTGTAAAAAGTTAAAACCGGTTATCCTTGGCACCTAGACAAGACTCCAGGGTTCTCTCAGGGCTTAACCCTAATATAAACTGAACAAAAAAAAAAGTATGTACAGTGATTCCAACCAAAAGAAAAAGTGAAAATCACTGTATCACCAGAATATGAAAGTAGTTGTATTGGTAATATGTAATATCAGGAGTAGTGCAGCTAGGTAAATGTCTCGACTTATACACCGAAAAAGCTAATAAATAACCACCTAGTAAGGTATTCTCCTAAGTCTACAGATATGTAGCGGCTCGAGGTAACTGGATCCAGGCAGAGTTCAGATAAATAAATAAAAAGTAGCTTTATTAAAGGGACACTATAGTCACCTGAACAACTTTAGCTTAATGAA